ATTTTACTGTCTTAAATTGTTACAGAATATGTTTATTTATTTACTTTCATTTGTCGATTTATTCAGTCATTTATTTCATTCTTTACGTATTCTGAATATGAATACTTTTTGAAGAATTTAAAAGGATCATTTCCGAGGTAAAATATTTATTGTTAATCAATTATTCAATAAAAAACGTATTAATTCTCAACGAAATTCCACTAAATTTTCAATCAATGGAAAAATCAAGAATATATTCACCTGAATTTTCCACTTTAATAGAATAGATAAACCGAAATTTACAATTTCCAGTGACTTCTCCATAAAATTTCTAATTTTAAACTACAACATTATAAACATTTCCAAAAAGTCTAAATTTTTCTTAAATTGTTCTAAAAAATAAAAATTTTAATTTCTTTAAATTGCAATTTGTAAATGAATTTCACGAAAATAATTTTCGTCCAATTTCCGCCTAGAAATGAGTAAACCCCACCTAGCCAATTTTTTACCTAAAAAATTCTCTCCCTGCACATCAGGAAATTGAATTTCTCAAGACCACCTGGATGTTAACTCAACATTTCCTCCTAATCATTATTATTCCAAGTGGCTGTAAAGCCGAGTTTTACCCCTCAGCACGTCGCAAAGTGTAACCTTGTATCTCCCCGACTTTGTCACACGCGGATTTTTGAGCGAGAGGGCAGAAGAGGCAGCTGGCGCACTACAATTTTCATTCGTTCCTCCTTTTATGCCCTTCCTCTCCTTATCCCCCTCTTCTTCCCTTGGAAAATCGTTTCATCTTCACTTCTACTCCACTCGGTGGGTAGTACAACGGAAAAGGGAGGCCAAGTGGTATCCAAGTTCCGGAGAGATAAGAGAGGACCCCGGAGAATTATCAAGTTTATGGGGTGGCAAGTAAAAAAGGACGACAGGAGTTCCAGAAAAATTTTTCATTAGTGAAGACTGTTGAATTTTTTAATTTCATTCAAAATTATGCAACTTCCCTCCCCTTTCTAAATAGATATTTGTTTATGGGAAAATTAAGCGTTTACCTACGAGACCCTGTCATCAATTTTCTAACATTTATCATCTAAATGTCGACTTCAATGAAAAAAATCTAAAACAAAAGTCTGAGCGATTAGAAAAAATTGAAAATGAAATCCCCCCCCCCCCCCCCCCCCAGACATTGACAAAAATCCGAGCTGATGAATAAACAAACAGCAACCCCTCCAATATTTGCAACTGGATTTCAGCTCATACACTCTTGCCTCGTCAGTTTTAATTCCACCATTTGCATCCATTCGACCCCGTAGTTGCACAGAGCTCTTTGATCCCAGCGTCGTCACGAGTTCAAACTACCCAAATTGAATAAGCCAACACACATCACCACCGTGCATTGATTGAAACTCCCCTCCCACCGTTTTTCACTCATCGCTGAATTCAAGATATTTCATTGAACATGAAAGCGAAATTTCCGACATGTAGGACGTATTTTCCCAGAGCATCGGTGCAAATTCTATTTCCATAATGAAAGGTTTTAAAAAATGCTCAAAAAAAAATCATGCGAATAAAAGCAGATGAATTTGTTGAATTGAATTGTTAAATTTGTAATTAATTGGAGATTTTTTTAGGGAAAAAATGGCTCGGTGGGCTTTACTCATTTCTAGGCGGAAAATAGACGACAATTATTTTTGTTTTAATTATTGTTCGTGAAATTTATCTAAAAATTGCAATTTAAACGAATTAAGATTTTTTTCTTAACAAATTAAGAAAAATTCACATTTTTTGGAAATGTTCATTTCATTGCAGTTTAAAATTAGAAATTTTATGGAAAAATCAATGGAACTTGATAGTCATTCACTAGAAATTCAAGTAATTTGGGGAATCCTCGTCTGCCTGTTGCTCAAAACTGAAAATTCATGAAATTTCTAGTGAAATTTGAAATGTTATGATTTTTCCCCTCACGAATAGAATTCAACGTCACTCTCCCAAAAATCCCCCGTCAACACTCTCTGACATTTCAATTTCTTCCCAACACTACGAACACAAGACGAAAACAAAGGCAAGAGAGAATATTCTCAATTCAAGAATTTCCATTCCAATGAAACAAATTTGAAAAAAAAGTAGTGCAGAGATGGAGAGTGAGTTGAGTAGAACAGAGGACCCCCGGGGGAGTTGGGCGCGTGCACATCTGGGCACGAGCGACCCCTGAAATATACCTAGCAGTCGACAGAACCGAGTGAGAGGCAAAGTATAAATCCTAGCGGAAAGGGGTGCCACCCCCCCGACGCACATGGGGGATCCTATCCCCCACTTTCACATAGTCCCTTTCACTTTCTCCAACATCCTGGGTTACAACCACTGTGGAGCGTAATATTGCAACACAGCGTCGCGGTCTCAATGGACACAATGTATCACACTCACACATTAAAATGAAAAACCCGTCCGAATGTGTTACTGACAAGTACAGTGAGGCTACCATTATGTACCATGAAAAAGTACTGGCCATTTAAGCTGGGATAGGTAGGAAAGGTTTCGGAAATACCCGGCTGGGGATACCATTCCTCTCAAGTTTATGGATAGACCCGAAATTTAATGCAGACCGAGGGAGGGAGTTGTTAAAAGCTATCCGCGGAACGACTAATGGTCGCACTTCGCGTTTGAGAGTGACTCTCAGATGAGAGAGGCAAAGGGGAATGCTGGATAGAGCCGGGAGGATTAATTTTTGTGGGAGCATGCAGATGTATTTTCATTCGGTCTAGGGCGGAATTTTTCTTTGGGGGCTAATGATTTTTTTGGATTGATCATGGGAAGAATTGTGAATAGGCTCCGGGATTAATTGAATTGAAACGTCGGGTGAAATATCAGGGGGCTTGAAATAATTTCACACTCTGGAATTTTATTTTGTGAATAATATTAAAGGGAATTTTTCACTTTAATGATTTTTTCATTAAAATTGAGATATCTTCTTTTCGCTTAATCTCTTTTAACGTTTGGAGTTAAATATCAGAGCTTTCATTAAATTAAAAAATAATTGAAAGAATGTAATTTTTAGAGATTATCAATTTTTGTAAAGATTAATTTACAAATTATAATTTTTTCGAAATTAAAACATTTATTCATATTTCGAAACACTATAAATTTCCTCTTTAATAAAATATAAATATAAATTCTCCCCAAAAATTTGCTAAAATGAACTATTGATTGCCTCATATCAAACAGAAATGTTTCTTTTCCCCAATAAAATTGAGAATCAAAACCTTTGGAACTGAAACAAATGTTTGTTCATCTCCGACACAATATACTCCCATCTGGACCCTCTAACCCCATCCCCTCCACATCGCCAAATGAGAAACTAATCCGACATTTTTGCTCCCCCCCCCTGACAATTTCTCAACGCTCTATCAAGATGAGGCATCGACTAATAGCTGCTAATGGAGGGGCTTTGCCGTCAGCGTCTCCCGTGATTAAACTTCTCTGTTCCCGAAAAAGATCCACCCGATGGGAGTCACATCTCCACGATGGATCAGTAGAGTACCCTTCTTGCGAGAGCCCCAAAAACATCGTCAAGGGATGATATCTCCCGCAAGGTCGTGATGTGGCATTCAATCGCGGATGAGTCAAAGCGAAATTAGTTTTTTTTATTTTTATTATTTTTACTCATGTGCCAATTCCCAGAAATTTTGGTTAAACGATATTTTCATTGAAATTCAAGAAAATTTTGTGATTGCAAAATCACATATATTCCACTCATTTCCCCCTTAAATTATCAGCAAATTGATTAAAGTTGAATTTCAATTCAATAATTAATATTTAATTATTTATAAAAAAAAAATAATAATGAATAATTAATTATTTTAATTTTATTAATTATTAAATATTCTTTATATTTTTTAAATTGCTACAAACATCTGAGGTGACGGAATAATGACCCTGGGTAAGATAAAAAAATCAAGTGAATTATGAACTGGCTGTCCCTCTGAGAGCCCCAAAAAGCTTGTCAATGGATGATATCCCACAAGATCGTGATGTGGCATCCAATCGCGAATGACTCAATGCGAGAGACTCCTTGTGGCTGGGTTTCCCCGAGCAGAATAAAAGAACTCCAGAAGTAATTTTCCATTCTGCCATACCCCCCCGCAATTACACCGCCGAAAGCAAAGAAAACAAGAGGTGAATGGGCCAAAGCCTCTTTGGGATTACAACTTTCATCAATAATTTCATTTCATTCTCTCCCTACAAAAAAAAACTTGATAATGGAGGAAAAATTTCTACTCATATCAGGAAGCGTGGAGTGAGTTGCAGGCCATTAAATCTTTCTCAACTCTTCGTCTGAAAGTCACCCCGGAAAAAGGCAAGAAATACTGACGGAAAAATAAACGACGGAAAATAAAAATAAACGGAAGGGAAAAGTGGAAAAACGTCTGGGAAACTTCTGCCTTTATGATCGCCTGGCGAAACGCATGAATTCATGGGCTCTTTGACTATTCAAGGGCACCAAGTCGTAAATTCTCCTTCGAATAATTGAAATTCAAACAGAAATCACGGCAAGTTGGAGGTATTCGTCGTATAAAAGTCATTTGGCATTGAGGATATCCAAGTGGTACAGTCCCTGCACTTGCAAGAATATCTTTCATTCACTTCTGAGAGTGTCAATTAAATTCCATTTAATTTGAATTACTAAGAGAAATGTTATTATTTTTCACCGGGGAGAAAAAAGCGTTAAGGATATCCAAGTACTTTGGCTATTTTTTCAGCAATGATTTTCGGAGGAAGATTTATGAAATAATTTAACAATTGCCAACATTTTCAATAAATAATTTAGAAATAATCAATTTTCCACTGTAAAAATCATTTGTTCGCAATCGAAATTCGTATTTGGGCAAAATTATATTTGCCCGGAATTTAATGACAAAAAAAACACGATTAATACTTTGATCTCACTGCAGAGACTGTCCCACTAGTGCATCCCCAACCCCAAACACAAGAGCAGAAAGAGACGAGGAAAATTAGATGAGACTTACCGAGCTGTGTTTGATGTTGCGGGCCAGGGGCCGGTCTGACCTTGTCCGGGGGGCATCTCCTCGTGGCTGCAACAGTGGCAGGCAGGGGAATACTCGTGCCAACGCCACCACCAATGACTCCCCCCCCTCCCGACTGCTTGTTGTAGGGCGACGGTAGTCTGGAAAAAAGCAGATAAAACAAGATTGAAAATCTATATAAAACACTTCAGTCGTCGTGCTGATCAACAATGGGCCCCGAACAATGACTCTCCGGTGGTGAACGAAATCAGGGTGAGTCACAACGGCAGTTCATCTAAATGATTCATCATCAACCCCCCATGAGCGCATCTGAATCCCACGAATTCTCACGTTCGCGGCGTTTACCCCGGTCTTTTGTGTTTCGTGGGCTATTTAATATTCCGTTCCACGCCTCCACCAAACATTCCAATTCCTGACACCATCGGGCTGGTACCCATTGACGAAATGCTCACGAGAGCATGTCAACTGGCCGATTGTGGAGATAAACAGGAGTGGATTATTATTACATTGCTCTTGGGGAAGTTTTCATTTTCTTTCGTCAATTTTTAGGGGCCATTATTGGGGGTTTGCGATTGGGAAAGTTAACGAGTGAAAAATTCCAAAATTCAGCGATTTTATTGCCAATAAAATCGATAAATTAAAATTTAATTAATGGCGATGGATAGGGCTCAACAATACCTGCATTTGAAGAAAAATATTCAATTCCATCCAGTCATTAGCGAACGATTGAAGAAAAACTCTGGATCATACTGGGGCAATATAACCCAAAAAATCCAAAACTTAAATTTGAACGATTATAAAGCGTTCATCGGGAAGCAAAACTCCACTCAATCCTCCAGCTCTTAAACCGGTTCGATCCCCAGCAAGACCCTCACCTTATCCCCTCGCATGAGCCCCACCCCGTCGCACACGAAAATTGAAAACCACCTCGCCTCCGAATCTAAACACGCACGTTTACATTTTTACAAACAGGTACAAAGGGCGTGAGAGTATCAACAAACGAGACAGCCATTGTCAAAGATAAAGAATCCTCGACTATACTCCCGAGGTGATAGAGAACAACGAGACCCAGTGTGTGTGCACACACGGCCAGCTGGCACGCCCCGAGAAATGTAAATATAAATGTCTCTCCATAATAATAGAGGTCCCCAACACCGGACGCATTCACAATTTCACTTTAGATCCGTGTCTCTTCATTTTTCCAGTCCCAACTCCTCTTCCTCTCTTTCTCAACCAAAAACAGAGTGTCCATTATGCCGGCGTGTGGGTGTAAAAGCCAAGTGTGGGCCGATGAAAATGAATACCGAGCCCACAATATTGTTTTCAAAATCGTCAACTTTAAATGAGCGCTGAGTGTCTCTTTGTCTCGTACAGGTAGGATTCGGGGAATAATGAAACGACGGACGGATGGGGGTCTCTACATGGACCCGAGGATTTTACCAATTACCTGATGCATGTACATCTTGTACACAGGGGGCCCCTATATACACGTCGTCTAAACCCTCCAGGTCCACTTGGCTTGTTCAAATGAGGTACGGTTACTGGGAGGGGAGATACACAGGGCGCCTGGAATTTCACTGTCGTATCGATCCCAACCGCCGTCTAACGCAAGATGATATCCATTCGGGGATTCAATGGTGCGATTCACCGACTCAAGACCAAGAACGAATGGATTTACAATCATTTGTTGGTCTCTAATGGGACTGCAGAATTTTTTTCACGAGGGAATTCTGAGAGGATATGCGGCTTTTTTAATTAATGAGAATAAAATTTCTGGTTGAAAATAATGGAATTAATCTTGTCGGTATAATTTTGTAAATTATTGGGAACAGAAGTCACTCTATAATAATGGAAAAAGGGAAAAGATGATGAAAATTGTTTTGAATTTCCAACAGTGAAAAAAATTTCAGCAAAATTTCAATTCAATTTTGTCTATTGTTGTTACGGAAATGAACGTATTATTTAAACTAATTAGATAATTATGGTAGAAATGCTTCAGATGGATATGAAGAAAATAAAGATTCCAATCGCAAGAACATTTCAAAGATCTGCATCTCAATTCCCCCAATTTGAATATTCCAAGCTAATTCCTGAGAATAAAAATTATCAACTCCTCGGCATTTCCCTAAACCCGGCATTTCCTCCTCTACAATTATTCCGTCTCTATCTTCGCTGATAAAAATTGCATTATTAATATCCCAGACAAAAGTCTCCTCCATTTGCCTACACACGTTCTAATTTCGCACTCATCTCTAATGCATGCATCCAATTCTCAATGTATTCTGCATATGCACCTCCCACCCTCATTCTCGGAAACGACAATATTCCGAGTAGCAATATAGCTCCCACACCCAGGCCCCAACGGCCCTCCGAGACGCTATAATAACTTGAATAACCTCTCAAAAATTGATCGAAACCCCTAAACCGAGCGGTTGGGTAGATGAGACGCCCTGTAAAAAGCGCTATCTTCAGGAGGTCTTAATTCAAGACATTAGACAGAAAAATGGGTCTTGTCGGATAACTTTGTGATGATCGAAATGTCGAGTATCTCAAAATAAGACGTTTTTTTTATATAACAACAAGACGTTTGCTGGACATTTAAAATATTAAGACTTATGTATTTATTTCTGGGAGATGTCAAATGATTTCAGACATAGTATTATCAGTATTTTTGATCACAACAATTTTCTTCTGCCTTGTTCTCCTAATTCCCTTCAAATTCTACTTAACCGTAATTTTTCACATAACCATAATTATCAGTAAAAATAATTATTGGCTCTTTCCATATAATACGATCACCCATTGAGAAAAAATGAATGAAGTATTTAAAAAACAAATTAGACACTCAGAATGTCTAGAATGCATATCTTAATGTCTGAATTTGAGACTGAAACCGTAATAATCTAAATTCGTTTTGCGTGAATATTCCCAAACGGAAAAATGACTCAAATTTCGAGAGTCTCACCCTCACAAAAAATGGCATGAATTCGGGGACATAATCGTCTTAAAAAGGGGAGACGAAACCGTCTTAATTTCAGGCATTACTTTTTCCGGGGCTCATTTTCCAAAACGACAATATTCCAAGTAGCAATCTTCCTCCCACACCCCACACCCAGATCCCCCGGTCCTCCGAGACCCTGCAATAACTCGAATCGCCTCTCAAAAATTGATCGAATCCCCCTAAACCAAGCGACTGAGTAGATGAGACACTTAAGGCCAAGAATGGGTGGGGAATGTCTCGCGTGAACGAGCCGGCTAATTCATTCGTGCAATTACGGATAATTGCCGGGCGACTGCAGGCATTCTCATGACGCTAAATTTTTTTCTTCCTCTCAAGAAGTAAACCCGTCTCCATGTGTACGTTACCAACACCCTCCGTCCAATTTTAAACCGACCTCTCCCTCCTCCTCCCGCGCCCTGCCAGTTCCAGAAACGAATAAAAATCATTCTAAAACAAATTTGCAAGATATGGAGAGATAAATGACTCGGAGTTTACTTCACATGACTCTAAGCCTCGAGTATATAATGCGTTAGTGGCTGTACGGTAAAATCTATTTTCTCCTTACCAACCCATTCAACATTGAAAACATTGACTCACTCTCCGTGACCCGCGGGGTGTCTTTGAACTCGTATGCTAAATAAAGAGGTCGAGTTATTATTGATGCTGCGGAGTGAGAGAAACAGGGAATATTTTAAATGAAGCAATAAAAGTGAAAATATGGGGGTTGTAGGGCTGCAATAATATGGTGAGATAGGGGGGAGAATGAGATCATAAACCCTTAATAGAAAAATTAATTGTACCTATTCTCTGTTAAAAATTGTGCGACGAACCCCGAAAATATAAATCTATTGGCTTTTTTCATCAAATATTTTTTAATACAATGACACGGTAAAGTTGCATAATCTGCAATAGAATTTTTTAATAGAATTCTAATAAAACTTCAAGAGAAGTCTTACGGAGATCTAACAGAAATTCAATTCTTCCAGGGATATTTCTGATGATCGCGACAAAAATTTAATTTTTGTGAAAGATGTTAAATTTCCTTCTATCAAGCTGATTAATTTCCCTCAAGTGAATCTGTTCCACTCCATCAAATATTTTCCCATGAAACATACAATTTTTCGGCACAGCTCATTTTTTCTCCCAGTGTATGGGAGAATGGAAGAAAATTGTGAAATTCACAGGAGTCCAATTTTCTTGACGTATTTACGAGCAAATTAATGTCCAATATTCAATATATTTATGGACATGCATTTTCCCCCATCCAGACATACCTAATTGGTGAAAATCCCAACTGTCATTAAAAAAATGCACGAAGAAGTGAAAAAAGAAGAGGAAAAACTGTGAAAAACATCGAAAGTGAGAAATGAAAGCGTTGGACATTTATATCCCCACGTGCTCGCGTGAATCGACCGTGAACCTCCTTTGAGTATCCACCGTTTCTCTGGCTTCTTTTCCAGGAAAGCTCGTTCCTCGTTTTTATTCGCCTTTATCCCTCCTCATCCCTCAGTTATTTCTCAAACAAAGGAGGGAAAAACTTCTCCCTGGATTTTTTTTCGTTTTATTCTTATCAAAGGGGGAACTGAATAATCGAACCGTGAACGGTCCCTTTTGAATTGATACTTTTTGTTTTAAAATGAGAAAGGAGATCAATATGTAGTTCTGGAATGTTTCATTGTTAATGACTTGGTTTCTGCAGGAATAACCATACATTTGTTTCAATTAATTTAAATAATTAATATTTTTGTAATATCATATTTTTTCGTGCAATAATTTGAGGGTGCGAAAAATCAATGGAAATCTAAATTTTTAATTCAATTATGTTGTTCAACAGAATCATTAAGGAGAGGAGGAGGCATACATAGGTGTAAAACGAAAACGTTTGTAACACCAGAGATGAATAAATAAAAAATAAATGAATATTATTCAACATAATTGAATTTTCTGAAATGTCATTTTTTTCCAATAGTCTATCTCGTGAAATTACAGCTTAACTTTTCTCAATACCTGTAATTCAATTCAATTCGTTCCTAATAAAATTAGAACTGCCATCGTAACAAAGAAACAATTCACACGTCGGATAATCCCACCGAGTGGTCACCATAAACCATACAACCATAACTGTTCAGCCAAGCGTGTACACACACCAGCGATATACACTCCTGACTCCCATGTACCCAGTGTGAATTTTATTGGAAACCCGGTTGTCCATGGACGTCCGGACGACCGGTCCTCCCACTTGCCCAGTACAGGCTCTCCAGCCCCCCTTCTGCGTGCAACCACTTCGTTTCCGTCAGGATATTCCCATAAGTATCACTCCCATTTTTCACATTAAAAAAATTTTTTTTAAAAAAGACTACGAGAAATTCTTTTGGAACACGCAAGAGTATCTCTCCCAGAGAGTGGAGGAGAGTCCAGGGATCCGTAATGCTGCAGAAATACCCGGGCTATTGGTGTGAAAAAGGTGTTGAGTAGGGATCCCAACCGGTCTTCACACTAAAACGCCTCTGGGGGGCGATATATTCATACAGGGGCTGTGGCATCTGGTTTTCCATTTTTTCCACTTACTTCCCATTTGGATGATTCCCCTCTGCCTCATCCCTGCGTTATTTTATCTCGGATAGTCCATGCTATCGACCATTGAATGTAATTATAGGTATGTTTGGAACATCTGAAGTACTGAAGACTCGAAATGATCACTAAGAGCTTCCAGCATTGATTTATATTATTCGAAATGGCTGAATAAAAAAATGTAAATGGAGTGGATTGTACTTTTATTTTATTTTTTTAATTTTTCACTCCTTTCCTTGCATAAAATCGAAAAGATGAGAAGAAAATCCTGACCTAATGACGAAGAACTTCAGAGTCCTCTAATAAAAGTAGATCTATACTTGAATTTAGGGAATTTTTCATTGAGAAATTCGTATGAAAAATTTCAAAGGCCATGTAGAATGGATAAATAAAGAAATCAAAATTCTTTTTTGAGTATAACTAACCACAGACGGATTTCTAGAAAACATAATTAAATTAATCCTCTACAATTTCGATTACTTCCCATTTAGATAATTCCCCTCTGCCTCGCCCCTCCTATATTTCATCTTTGATAGTCCGTACTAAGTACTGAAGACTCGAAATAATCACTAAGAGCTTCCAGCATTGATTTATACTACTCGAAATGGCTGAATGAATGAATTCAAAACGGAGTGGATTGTATTTTTATTCTTTTCTTTCATAAAATCGCAGGAGGAATAAATGTCTGGATTGAGAACTTCAAGACAATAAACAGTGATCACAAAGATGAAAAGAATACCACAAGCTATTGACAAAGACCTCCAGAGTACTCTAATAAAATCCAATCTATAGTTGGATTTAGATAATTTTTCGTTGGAAAATTCATGTAAAAAATTTCAAAGGCGACGCGAAATAAACAATTAAATAAATGAAAATTCGTTTTTGGATATAACTAAACACATCAACTCACGTCTAGAATCCATAATTAAATCGCCTCCTGAAATGTACCCCACATACCCCAACACTACCATTTCTTTCTCCCCAATTCCCCGATCCCATCAACCATTTCCCCGAAACAAGTGAAAATCCCCTACCTGTGCACCTCCGGTGAATTCGGCAAACTCCGTGTCTTCCGGCTCGCACTGCTGCTTCCGCTATTGCCCATTGTTGCCCACTTTCAAATATTTAAACCTCGAAACTAACCTCACCCGTCGATCTCGCACCCCTCGTCCTCCAAAATCAACCCCCAAATAATCCCAATTCACAACTAACGCCGCACACTCATCAACTTCCCCCGATATACCTCCAATAATCCAGAATTAATACAGTCATACACTTGACACAGTCGCGATGTTCCCCCGCAATTCCATTATTTCACTGGCGCGTTGTGTCTTCTCTTCGCCATTGACCCAGGCGCGCCGGCACAAGTTCACTGTAAATCCCGAGGCCCTTGATCACCGTCCACCACTCGTTTTATCCACCAGCCACTCACGCTACCAATTAATCAAACTAAAAATAAACCTCAAAACAGCGAATCGTAAAAAATCAAAAACTAAACCCGAACCATTTCCGTCACTTGTAATTTATCGTCCTTCAAACCAGATGTTCATAGTGATAATGGAGAAATAAGTCCACGCCGTCGATTAAATTACAGTGCAACGTTTCGCTAAATATTTAGCTTCATCCGGCTCTTAACGTGGTCAACGCATGGTCCTAATCGTTAACAATAATGCAGGAGTATGCATTTGCAGTAAAAAATTCGTATTAACATCACAAATGGAATACAAAAACACGGAAGAGTCCGATGACTGTTTGCTCGGACAGTAGTCGTCAGTTTATCGTTATTTGAATTTTGACAGTGAATCCAGTGAGTCCATGGCGTTGGCCATGGGTTGAGGCATCTCGCTGGCCCGCTACAAACTGACGAGGCCTGAGTATAGCAACCGAGCCATATTCCCCATTACCGTTCCCATAGCACGTGGCTTTCTCTCAGTTTCCCCCCTCGTTCGTCACCCCTCTCTCGCACCGAAATTCTCCCTCTCTCGCTCCCGCCGGTCCAACAATTGGACTCTGTCTTTTTTCAGCCATCACTTCCTCTCGCTCCATCACTCGCGATACAAATCGCAGCCTCCCTCGCTTGGTCTCTCCCCGTCGCATCGCCCCCTCGCGTTGCGACGCTTCGCTCATTCGCGCCAATGGCCCGCCTGGACTTTCCCGTGAATCCGACCAATCCGGTGACGGAGAAGCCGCAGGATCTTTTTTTTTCCGAGGGTATTCTCATGCTAATGCCCCCGAACGGAGGATACCCCTTCTACGGTGTATGTGGACGCATAGGTATACTGGGAATACACATATTTCTGTGATGCTTGGGTTTGGCTCGGTTGTACGCGGAATATGCCCGGAATCGTCGGGTATTTGGGGCTGACATTGGGCGGCTGATGGCGGGGAGGCATGTACTGATTCGGGAGCATAATGGAGCATTGTTAATATGTTAATGTCAAGGACTGGAATGGTATCTAGTTTTTTGGTAGATGGAGGTGAATTGCCAGTTGACTTTTGGGGGGAGGAGGGGGTGGAATTTGTCGCGGTTGACGTGTAGTCAGGAGAATCAATCATCAGCGAATAGTTCAAAATATCCTAGATAATATATCACTGTCTGAATGATTATTTTCACATATTGAAAAATGACATTTGAGAGTGTCACATGAACGAACGTCACATTAATAGTATCATAATTGTGAAGCAATTGTGATTGCAAAAGTTGAAATAGTATATTTCGATACGAGTGCGTAAAAGCGTTCTCATCACACTGTCCATGAAATTTCAATTTTCCCGCGACAACGTAGTCAGATGAATGTGAAAATCACTGGAAAAATTTGAAGAGCACACCTCGGATTCAACACCAGAATCAATGAAGTAAAAAATACCTCGGCAATTCTTTCGCTCAAAATAAAAAAAAACTTGACTTTCTGTCTGACGAACCTGACGAAGAAACTTCAATAAAAAAACATTCAGAAGTTTATAAGAAACCACTCCGGAGGGTTTACCCGGATGAATAGTCAATCAGTGGATTATTGAAGCATTTGAAGCCCTCGATGGGGTTTCATTCGTTCCCCCGAGACACGGAAAAATGAGTGCAGATTCACTGCGTCTCCCAGTGGAAATTATCGAGATTGAAAGTGCTTGCGTTTATATTTTGCTCGAGATTTTACCTCAACATTTTTCACTGATTAAATGCGGTAATGTTATGCGAGGTGATTACAAACGAGACGTTAATGAGTTGCCGTGTAGATATTGATCCCCGTCGACGTGTGGCTGTTTGTAATTAAACGCGACAGACTAGCGCGTATACATCATTCAAATGGAAACAGCTAAAGGAGGGATTGAAATAATAATGTATACGAATTGTTTCCGGCTTTTGACGGAAAATATAAATCCCCGTGGCTCACTGTCACTTGAAAAACACGAGTGATCCATGCTTTAACGAGTTGAGGGGGCAAAAAAAGCCTGAAAAAACCCTTTTTCTACGCCAAAATGGATGGGGTGTTGAGGGTATTTCAAATAGGAAAAAATAAAATTCCACAAAGAAGGAACAAAAAAGCGGAAGAAAACACTTGAGCGATGGTAAAGATGAGGAGAGTAGAAACAGAAAGAAATAAAGAGAATGTAAAAAAACGTGGCGAATGTTTCTTAAGGGTTTTTCGAGGAGTTTTTGCAATCTTGAGTGGAGACGGGGTACCTCTTGGCCATTAAAGCCTCGCTCAGCATTTATGAGTGAAACGAGAGAAAGATATCATGAATCTTCGTTAAGTACGGCCTGATACGACGAGCCCTTTGTGTTTATTCCATGAATGAGTACATCACAATGAATTGACGAGATGAAAAAAAAAAACATCTTCATCCCTTTTGCTTCTTCTTTTCGATTAAAATCGCGTAAAACTCCTAATTAAACGAGAGATGGCAATAAAATGACGTGAAATGGAATTGTTTTCCATTCAAATCGCGATATGATAAAAAAATCCCTACATTATCGGCCCTCACATTACCACAGTCGACAATGAAGAGCACATTTTGCACAGTAAGCGGTAATATAGGCACCTGCATTTGTAATTATTGCCGTCAGTCGGTAAATTAACAGGGACTTACCTAGGCATGTCCTGAAGCTGTTTGGCCCTCTGCTTGTGCCTCGACAGGGCAAATAGTAGTGCCAGTACAGGGCGAAGGGTGGTACCAGTTGATAATTCACCCGGATTAACTGCACCGACATCCGCACCAAGTGCACGCAGTGCGCCCACACATAGACTGACGTTCTCAATCTGCAGTAAAAAATAAAGAAGAGATGAAAAACAAAAATGAGCGCATGAATAAATGAAGTTGTAGAGAACGAGGAAAATAAAGTTACACAATGAGAATGTATGCATTGCAATGCGGACAGAATGCAGAGTGGTTGGACGATGAGTGCAATCTTTCATGTCTCCCTCCCCCCCCCTCCCACCCGCCCCGCGCTGCACTTCTCTCGTATATGGTGGGCGGTCGTGTCGACTGGATGCGCTTTTTAACAAATTAAACGGGCGCCAGGGCTTGCGGGCAAATTGCGATGGTTTTGCTCCCCCCCCC